GGTCCCAAAGCAATTTAATCAAGGATGCTAAAACTATCAAGGTGCTATTCAGCGATTAGTATGCAAGCAATTGAGGGGGAGCATGGGGCTTCCACAGACTAGCAACAGCTAACATCAAAGATGGCCTAACTTTTGCAACGTCCTCTCAATCAGTTATGTTAGCCATACGTACATGGCTCGTGTTTACCAACACTTCACTCAGTTTTCAGGGACACGGGGCAGACGAATTCACCCAGATAGCTAAGATAACTTCTTACGCTGCTTTTACCAACTCCAACATAGAGTACTTCTGTATTTACCAATTTATGTTCTCTACCCTTTTTAATAAAGTTGCTGATGAAAATCTGCCCATGCTACAAATGCAGCATCCTTTCAGAAAGGCACTTTTTGCAGTTGCTAATGCTCTCTACCTACTCCCATTTCATTACTTCCAGCTAGAAAAAGAACGGTGGAGCTTTAATTCCTCTGGTAGCCACCAGCAGGGATAAGAGCTCAGTCGTAGCCCTGCTAAGTGACAAATTAACTCTTTGGATTATGTAAGATCAATGGGAAGCAGGGAAGTATTCTCTTACCTTCAGAACACAGCTTGCCAGCATATCCAGTGGCTGAGCAGTCACAGTGTGGCTCGCCATCCAGAAGGAAGCAAGTGCCACCATTTTCACAAGGGTTTTCTGCGCAAAGCCCTTCCATTTCCAGTCGGACGCCTTGACTGCCCAGGAGCTGTGGCTCAGAGTTGCCATATTTCAGATCCAGGATAAATCCTTGAAATGGAGGCTCACCCAGAACACCATCAAGGGTCAAGGCAGCAGGACGGATGTCCAATGGGACTCCACCAACAAAAAGGTCACTGACGATATTCATATATTGGCGTTGTGGACGCACCTCGCCCGGCTTGGCTTCACCATCCAGCACTAGCACCGTCCGAAGGTGATTGCGGCTGACCATCAGGAAGTGCCAGTTGCTGTCATTGACCTGCTTGTCTGTGATAACTGTAGTCTCTGCACAGTCCACACTGAACTGGAGCTGGAGGCGCCCATCAACAAGGGACAAACAGAGGAAGTCACAGACACCACCATCATCAAAGTAGAGGAGCAGCCCAGCAGAGACATTGGTCTTGAACTGAAAGCTGAGTTCGCTCCTAGTGCTGGCGTCCCAGCGGAGGTAGCGGGCCCACTGGTTGGGGATGCCCATGAACTCCAGACCCAAACAGAGACCCAGCAAGGAGCCCAGCAGCAAACTCACCTTCAAGGTGAAGTAGACAGAATGCAGAGTGAAGCCCATTGTTTCAGGAATCTGCTCTTCCCTAGGAGAAAAACAAAAGCCACGCTACTGGGAGGAGAACCCCACCAGTCTATGCCAAATGTTAAATCCAACAGGAAGAGGAGGAGAGCACAGAGAGCAACAGGGAGAGGGGGATAGTAAGTGGAAAGTGAGATAGCAAGTGCACGTGACCAAGAGGAAATGTCTCGTTCCCAAGGAAAGGTCTCAATTATCCTTTAGGATCCAGAGGCTTTTATCTCAGAATTATCTCAGAATTACAGGGTATATGAAGTGACTTCTTCAGCCGGTGTACTTTTGTGAAGGGCAAAATAACCCACAGTGATTTGTTTTTCTTAGAACACAAAGGTAACACTGGTTGTTCCAGGGAGGAAGGAAAGGCAGAGCTGAAGCCCAAGCCCCAAATTCTGGTTTCCTAGAAGTGATGACAATATTGACGGAGGTGGCAGTGAGATGGAGGACAAAGTGAAATCATAAAGCACGTGATCCTCGAGAGGGCAAAAATAAAGTCAATCTTCATGATGCACTGGTGGCAACCCAGCCCATAATTCACTGCTTGGCACTCATGGAGCTTGCAGGACCTGTGGGGTCAAGAGAAGAAAAGAAAGGAAAAAGTTAGTCCTACTGCTCACCATATCCTTACAATGAAGCTTATCAACATCTTGTCCAGTAACTCTTTTACATTTCTTGATACTCTGGCCGCTTCTTCATGCCTGCAGCTGGCTATAGAGTCCTCCAAAGCAGCAAGGACATCTATGTCCTCAAAACTAAGAGGACCAAATAGAGAACTCACCAAGCGATCTGCACACACCACAACGCTGAGCAATGTAAAAATACACCAAATTATTTAACTCCTTTGATGGATGCAATGTCATTGACTTCACTGAGAAAAATGGCGCTGAAGCTTCCCCAGTAACAATTACGTCTTAATGAAAATGCTTAGAACAAAGACCAGAGTTCCTTAGAGTTTAAAAGTTGATACAGGGCAAGAGAAGACATTATCCAAACTGCCCATTCCACTGCTTTCATTATGCTTCCTAGCACACCAAGCAAGCATTAGAGAAGACAACCCTGCTGTCAGCCTGTCATGCAATAGCTGCTTTTCCTTTACATGTGTTGCACACTTCAGAGACTCTAACAGGGACCTTTGCAACCTGGAAACATGTGCTATACAAATTATATATGGCAACCTGCAGCTTAGATGATAGGAAACTTGTAGCCTAGATGATAAGAACTGTCTAAGCACTTAACCACTTACCCTCTTCTAGTGGTTTAGCAAAAAGGCCAAATTCACCCCTAGCTAACAGCAAGCAATTCCAACCGCCTTCAGTGAGCAAGAGTTACACCCATTAACACTGGGATTTAATTTACTTCTGCCTCTTTGCATGTGGGTGACTGTATGCCTGGGGTAGGAGGATGTTTTAAGATGACAAGTAAAGACAGCACGAAGCTAGGCTCATTCTTTGAAAATTCTGCTTAAAAATAAAGTTTGCCATTAACACAGGTGCTTGTTCACAGAGATGGGCTGGGCACAAGAACAGCCCTGGGAATGGCTAACACTAGCACAGATACAAACCAGGAAAGGAAGTGATGAGAACCAAGGCCTTCAACCTCCCAGAAGCCAGCATGAACACAGATTTCACAAATTGGATCGCAAATACTGTGAGAAAGTATTTGCTTGTGAAAAGTGTTTTGTGCTGTGGACAATGAGAGTTGCTGGGGCTGCTGTTGCTCCCAGTAAATGCCTTTCAACCCCACCGCTCACCCTGCTCCACAGGAGGAGGCCCACAGACACTACAGAAATGGGCAGTACAGAAAAGTTTGTTTGGTAAGGGCAGAGGTTGAGCCGGAGGAGAATCACTAGACAACAGAGGGGAAAGCTCACATAGTCACAGCCTCTACCCTACCTGCCCCAGGGACCGGCAGAAGCCAGAAGTCTCCAGGGCTGTCAGTCTGGCAAATTCAGCCAGCACGAAAAACAAGTCACTTAGAAAACAAAAGGTATCAATTAAAAGAAAACCCGCTAGTTGGAGAGAAACGTGAGCTTTCAGTGCTCTGTGGAAACCAGGCCTGTTCCCTGCAGCTGCCTGAGTGGAGCGTGTTAGCTAAACTGCTATAAACACAAATAAAATGAAGTCAAAACCAGAGGGAAGATAATTCCTTTTAATTGTTAACGGCTTGGCTCAGGAAAATGGAAGGAAGCAAAAGGAGGTGTTAGGAGAGGTGTAAAATGAAAAACCACCACAGATCCAAATGCTCAAATCGTCTGTCTTCCCAATAATCACAATGTTGGCTCAGTCCATGGGATTTTGGGGGGGCTTTGAAAATCAACTGGAAAAAAAAAATTATGTGGCTCTTGTCCATTTACCTTTCTCTTCTGTGCTCCCTAGTGATTCCACTAAAATAGCCCATGATTTATGGAGAAGGAGAATAGAGTGAGAGGGAGGTATGAGAGAAAGTGATGACCCAAGTCTGGAATTATTGATGAGATGGGAATAGGAATATAATAACGTGTGTAAATTAGCCAGTGATGTGCTCCCAGCAGCTCACAGTTCCCTGGAACATTTACCACCACCATAGCAAAATTCACTGCTCCATCAGACAGCTCTGTGCTCAGGCTGAGCTGGGGAGGGAGGCAAGCCCAGCGTGGCACCAGCCACCCACAGACTCCAGTGCAGAGGGTCTCCCGCCACAGCTTTCAATTCTCCTGAGTACGGTGGGTTGCACCATCTGCATCAGAAGTAGCCCTCAGCCTTCTCTCCCTGTTTTAGAAGACTAACTCTTTGAGAAGCAGTGAAAGATACTGTAAATCACAGCAGCAGGTGTGAACAGTCTATAGATAACCACAGATGAGATGCATATGACCATGTACAGCCCAAATGCCTGTCCAAAAAGCCTACCAATCTCTCCCAACCCCAGGCTGCTGAAACCCTGTTTTACACACAAAGAAATCTCAGTCTCCATGGGTCGCTTCAATCCTTGGGATATTTCAAAGGCACAGTAAAAGTAGCAGGCTACCTCTGTGGTACAGATTTCTGTAACATCGATACATGTTCATTAGGAGATAACAAAGGCCACAGTTAACAAGGGAAACCAGGCAGAAATGGTTAAACAAGAATAGCATTGTTGACTGAGGGAAGCCAAGACAATCCCTCTCTATCTGTTTTGATTAAGAGAAGCCAAGGTAATCCATTTCTAGCTGTTTTCAAAGAAGACAGTGCCAGTTCTGTTTCAGAAGAGGAAGATGACACAAAAAACATGAAATATAGGTGTCACTTCTGGGTGCTTCATTGCCTCTTAGACACTTCAGCTCAGGTTTTGGGAAGGCTGCCCACACCCAGCCACTCGCAGGCTGGGGCCATCTGAGGCTCCTCCAGAGCTCTGTCAGCACCCATCAGTCCTGACCCACAGCGCTTCCCACTATTCCAGTTTTGTGTCTCACGCAGTTCAGCCTGTGACAGCAAACCTCACCACACAGTAGAAAGGTCTTCAAGAAAAACTCAGAAGACCCAGTGTCCTTTTTAGCAGTGGTCAGGATCTGAATCCCAACCATGAGAGAGTAAATCCTGACACAACAAATCTGTGCCTCACCCATTTCCCACAACGATTCTCCAAGACACACTGAGAACGAATATTTTTCTGCTCTTACCATTTTATTTTTAGCATAAGTACTACCCTAGCAGCCTCATACAGCACACTGCTACCATAGCAATACATTACAGTTTGGGACCATAACCATAGAATCCCATTTTCTTATATATTTTATCTCTGAGAAATCTCAAACTTTGTCACAGCATGATCACATCTGACAAAAAAAAACTTCATGATGGACGGACACCACCTCTCCCAGTTATGAATTAGCAACAGCCCTGTTCCAATTCCACCTATTGCTCACATGGAAAAGCAACACAACAAATATTTTCCATATTATATTTTTGGCTTAATGTGATTTAGCAGCATGAAACAAGACAGTCAATCTGATGTGATCAGCCCTTTAACTAACCACTAGGTGAGGCCTTTGCAGAGCATTTTAAATACTGGCTACCCTGAAGGAATCAGAGAGCCAGTGAGTTATCTCCACTGCACCTCCAGCAGCCTGTACCGCCTCCCTGGCCCATCAGAGAGCTGAGACAGCGAGGAACCTGCACACTGAACAGACGGCTCAGCATCTCACACGCACAAAATCCACTGTAGGAAACACACCCACCTGCACTATTGAAACATCCCACTCACAGGGCTGATAGAGCTGCACAATTTCCCAAGCCAGGGAAGGGAGGCAGCCCCGCTGCAGTGCTGTGGGCAAGTGCTATCCAACCACCACAAAACTTCCCAAACTTGAGAGCAGCCTATTAATGCCAGATCAGAGCCATCTGCTCAGCAGCCCATGGAGAGGGTCTTGCCCTCGCTTTGGAGTGGCTCTCAACTGCTTATCAGCTGTGAGTGACATTATCTAATTGCCAACTAATTTCCATAATTACTGACTGGCATACTCTGTATGCAGGGTTAATATCTTTGCAAACGTCTCGCAATGCACCTGCTTAGGAAAGAGGGTGAGAAGCTGGGCACAGTGCTGCTCTGCAGCTTATTTACCCAATCGCACAGAAAGGTTGCAGGACACGGGTTTGTCACTCCCTGCCCTCCCTCCTCCCCTACCTCCCTCTCTGGCTGCTAATTGCTTAGGGATGGACTTTTCTGTATTTGAAAGTGTAATTTTCAGCAATTCCTAGTGCAGAAAGAATAACAGAGTTAGATGAAGCCAAGGACAGGCTGGTTTCCCTCACAAACCCCTGCCACTGCATCCCAGTGCAAGGCTGTGTAAATCTTGTTATTCCACGGAAGGATGCTGGACAAAATCCCACTGGCAAACTGATGGGAGGGGTTTGCAGTCCTCCCAGTCTGCCACCTCCTTCCACAACTGAAACTATTCATTATGCCATACTTCATGTGGAGGGAAAAACATACATTGGTTACCTAGGATCCATGTATTTATACCCCAC